TTCCCCCCTAGAAGTTTAAATTTTTCTATATTACACTTTGTGAAGAAGTAGTAGGGTGGCAATGGCTTCCTCTTCCAGGAGGGTTCAAAGGTTATCCAAAGACAATTTCAGCACTCATTTCATGTGCCAAAGACAATATGTATGGAATAAACAAACATGAGGGTTGTCATGGCAAACACTAATACCCTTAAAAACTCAACCTCCTTTATTGTAAATCATCGAGCCATAATCACCACTTTTGAGACCAAGAGCGAATAGATGATTTAAGACTGCCACCTAGAGGCACTGCGCTGCTGGTGATCTTCAGCTAAACGGAATCCAACCAGACCCATCACACCAGGCAGGGGCTGGATTGTCAAATCCTCCGTGGAAAGACGGTGAGGAGAATTCATGTGGAGGAAAGACGACGGCGGTAGTATGTGTGTGTGAGCTAAAGGCGATGTGAGAGGAAAGGCTGCTGGCTGGAAGCTAAGCCAACCATCACAATACGCGTGGCTGTGACGCGGCATAGGGCCTGAGAGGAAACGGGTTGTTCAAAGCCCCGATATGAAGTAGATGTCGCGGTCTTCTCTGTTGAACGGGGATCTTCGGAAACTCACGGGAGTTTTTGAGGAAGCAACAGTTGTTTGTGCCCTCCAACCTTCGAGGAGGTAATGAAGCTTTCTCCCTCGTTGAGTGTCTCCTGCTGAGCCCAACTGTCCCGAAGCGTTGGCTTGACGAGGCCTGAATCCTCACAAATCTGTCATCTCTCAGTCCACAGCACATGGCCTGACCAATCGGATCTCTGGGCGGAGTTTCACACATAGGTGTGAGCATAGGCGTAACCACGCATTCTTTGGGGGGGGTTGTGTCCCCCCCAATATTGAAAAGGTACCAATCTGCCCCCCCCCCCCCCAATATACAGCAGAAAGTATGTAAAACACTGTATATCTATGTACATATATTGACCGGCCGGTCGGATGGTCACCGCCACCCTTCCCTATCATTTAATGGTTTGGCCCGCGTCGAAGTGGGCAGTATCTGGCGCGAACCTAAAATGAGTTTGGCAGCTTAGGGTTGAGTAATGCAGGATTTTAGGTTACCTAGAAAGCCAGCAGCCGAGCATTCGCGTGTTTTTTCAGACAGCAAGTAACTTGATACCGAGCTAAATGCGTAAGGAAATAAAACGAGTAGCCTCATAAGAGCACGAGTCGCTGTTTTACTGATAAAATGACATGTGGTCACAATGCAGGCGTCACACGAGACAGGGAAAGAGACAGGCAAGATGAAAGCAGTGGCCAGACAAGCTCTGCACATGCAGATGATCAGGTGAGAAAGTAACGTGAAATTTAATGCAATTTAGTGTTGCACACAGACAGTCATTTTAAGTATGTAGCTGAGTAAGGCATTACAGGTACCTGCATCTTGTGTATGATTTCTTGGTGGAAACATACTGGGTTTTCCAACGCTACATGTTGGTTTAGATCAGCGTGAGGAGGAGCTCGGTACCTGCCCACACCAGCCCAATACCCGCTTTATTGAAACTCGGTCCCCCGAAAAAAAAATTCCAGACAGTTGGTTTAAGCAGTACAAATGGCTTCATTACAGTCCCTCACTTAAAGGTGTGCTTTGTTTTTACTGTGCCAAATATTTTGGAGATCAGAAATCTTCCTTAGCCAGTAAGGCTGATGGAGCTTTTATTAAAACCCGATTCAGTAACTGGAAAAAAGCTCTTCAAAGGTTCTCTCAACATGAAGACAGCGATTGCCATTCAGCAGCGTCAAAAACAGCCTGTCAGCACTCAACTGTCCCCTCAGTTGCAAAAGCAGCAGCAGGTGACCAGGAATAGTTTCTTAAAGATTGGGGGGGTGGGGTGATTGCTTGCCCAGACAGGGCAATGCTTTAAGGGGACATGACAACAAAGAGGGCAACTTCCACCAGTTGTAAAGTACAAGGCAGAGGGTGAGCGGCACAACAACTTCACCAGCCCCACAATTCAAAACGAGGTCCTTCAAATCGTCAGTAGCACAATTGTACGTGAAATTGTCACACAGGAAATCCACTCATTGCCAGTGGTTCAGTATTCCCTTCGAATTGATGGGACACGGGACGCAGCAGGAGTTGAGCAAGAGTCCTTCTGTCCGCGATTTGTTGATAAAAACTTGCAGCCCAGAGAGGAATTCATAGGCCTGTGTCAGCTCATATCCACTACTGGAGAAAACATAGCTAGTGTAGCTAAAGAATACAGTACTTTAATACCTTGGACACTGTTGTGGTGCAATGCAATGAGCGCTGCAGCCAGGGCTTCAAAAACTGCAAAAATTAGAGGACGTAGTCCTCTCTGGGAACATTGATGCGGTTGTGGATGACTACCCAGAGTTGAATGCCATGACTTTAGAAGTGCAGCTGAAAATGTTCCGGGCCAACTACATGTGTACAACTTCCTCAGAGGGAGCAGACATCATCCGGGAAATGGTGCCAGAGGGGCGACATCTTTTCAAGCAAGTTGCGATCCTGTTGAGACTGCTGATGGTTTCTCCTGCCTCCTCAGCAGAGGCAGAGCGAAGTTTCAGCGCCTTGAGACGTCTGAAGACATGGCCGAGAACAATGATGACGCAGACCCGGCTGAACAACGTCGCCATGTGCATCAGGAGTAATCGCACGCTTTGGACAGGAAACAAATCTGTCAGCGCTTAGTTAAGCTTAATGATGAACGCCTCCAGGTTTTGGGTCATTTATTTAGATACCTTTTTTTGTTAAAGGGAAAGTCCGTAATTTGTTCAAGTACAGCATTAGTTGTTGTAATTAAAATATTTACATAAACATGCTTTGGGTATGTGGTCTTTCTTTTTCCTTTGGAAGCATCCTATTTGCTACAGCACTACTGGAAGAGCACAATTGTAATTGGTAGGTGTGTTTAAGGTCAGTAAATAGTAAGCAACTCAGTCACTGTCACAGAGAAATGACACTATTCCTTTAGATGTTCATTTAAATGGTCAATAGAAACATAGAAATAGAAATATAGAATAGTAGGCCATGCACTTAAGAAATAATAATATGGGGAATGGTATTCATTTGGACCCCCCCCACTGTCTAACGCATGGTTACGCCCTTGGGTGTGAGGAGAAAGCTGCTGATCAAACCACCAATCCTCCAGTTCCAGGACAACGCTGCTTTCTACAGTCAGCCACATCTACCACTCAGTTATTGAATGGAACGTTGTGGTAGAGGGCTGAAGTACGAAGTACACTTTACTCAGTGATGACATTGTCATCGTGTAATGGTCAGCCAGTCCAACACTGATCACTGTCCCAAACCATGTTGGCCGGCTGAGTGTCTGGTTGTTTCTTTGTTGTTCTTGTTTTTGTTTTCCTCTTGCCGCGGTCCTTTTAAAGATGGGGTTACAGAGGTAAAGAGATGGTCCCGCCCCCAACCCACCCTCGCCGCGAAACGGGCGGGAGCCCAGCCTCCCAGTGGACCCAGTCTGCCCCCCTGCTGCACTCACAACTCCAATGTTAATGTCACAGTTTATGACCTATGCTTGAGTAAAAACATCTCGGCCGCTCCGCTCTGAACACAGAGGTGCTGTTACGTGCACCTGCTGTTGTTGTGACATGTATCTTCTGCTCGTTGAGATGGAAAATACAAAAGCTGCTCCATGTTCCAGAACTCCAGAGACTATCAAAATATTGTATTACCATATTTTACTTTCAGGAAACTCAGATGGTGCATTGCAATCGTCTGCTCGACTCACGTTTCCCAAATAAACTAATTCATATTCAACTAATTTCCCCATGTGGTGATTAAGTATGTACCATGAAATAATTTGGTGTTCTGTTGCAACCAATTATGTTCACTTTGGAGTCGGCGCGGCAACATGAGAGAGACACAAATTGGCAGCCATTTGTAACATTTATCCTTCCTGGATATCGGAAGCCAAATCAAAGCAATTATGACCCGAGCGTGTCTACTTCGGAGTTTACCAAGTTCATTAAGCAAATTAACTTCCTAATTAGCTTTGGCTTCATGCACACTTTCATCTGCTTTTTTAGGGGGCTTTCAAGTAACGGCCGGCACACAAGAGCCCAAACAAAGCTGTGCGTAAATACAACAGGGGCCACAGAATGGGCCACTTGCAAATCACATCTAATCAAAATCCCAGCATGGACCGAGGGACACGGCTGAAACACATGAGGTTTTCCTGGAACACAAATGCTGCTTGTTATTGACTTCAGGCTGTAATATACTTAGGAAAATGAGGAGAACATCTTTTATTTTGTTTATTTTCTATTTGCATCAAGTTGAACGAGAGGAGAGGAGCTCCACTTTCACTGGTTGGTGGGATTGTTCCTCGTCAAGAACTCCGCCTGGAACCAGACAAATGGTATCAAGACCTAGAAGGCCGATGATGACAATAACTTCATACCAGTGCTGAGAGTAGTACCAGGAAGTCCACAGGGTCCTGTGGGCGGGCTGTGCAGCATGCTATCAGGCCCTGGGTCAGAGTGGGCATGACGTGCTCCATCAGGTAGTTCCTCAGAGGGGCGGACTCTGCCTCCAGCACCTCCTCCTCCTGCTGCCTCACCTCCTGCAAACGCTGAGTCTGACACACATACATGCATCACATAACATCATATATTTAAACCCCTAAATGAAACAGTGGTTTAGTGCAGGCCTGCACCAAAGCCTTCGCTAGAGTAGTTTCCAGTAGATCACGCAGATGTGTTTGTTAGTCTGGTATCTCCATGTTTTATAAGACTTACAGGGCTGTTACTGATTTTATTTCATGCGATTGACAAAATGTCAATGTTTCTGTCTATTGCTGTTCTGTGTTATATTGATTTATCTCTTTACCAGTAACATGAACACATCAGAACACTCATAGGGGTTCCCCTTCATTCTGACAAAAATAAACATCCAGATAGACCAAGCAGTTATTACACTACAAAAAAAATGCATCAGAGTGGAAAAGGTTGTTATGCAGCACCGAGCCTTTTAAAAACATGAATGAAAAGAGACAAACCTAGTAGATGAGTCCTGTGGACGCCAGATGGCTGTGCCCATGCTGACTGACCCACGTAGCTCTTTTCCCGCCCGTGTAATACAGGCTCTATGTCGTGTCGTAACACAGGCTGTCAAAGGCTCTATGTAGAACCAGCGCTCACTTTGTCCGTGCTAGTATGCCGCGAAAACATGGCGGTGTTACACGGTGGCGTCCCTAGATGTAAAGACTTTCCGCTTGCTGGCTAACTCGCTCGCAACTGGCGGCGAGTTAGCTGTTAGCGCGTAAGCTCGTTGTGGCTGCGACAGCTGTTCACCGCTGACCACCCGAACAGCTATTCGCCTCTCAGAGGAGTTAGCTTGTTAGCTAGTTCACATGTTAGTTGTGGCTGCTAGTGTTGCCACCAGAGGCTCGACAGACTTAAATCGTTTTCTGAACTAACTTACAGCGTTTTTTCTAAAACCAAAAACCCTCCAAACAGACACGGCTCCTTTCTTGGGCACAAGTTGTGTTGGTGCATCTCTGGTCTTTAGGGGTTGCCACTTTTTGTACAGAAAAGGGACAATACGCGACTATGCGATCCCCGGTGATTCCTGCCACTGTCCTCGGTACTTTTGTATCTGCTTTCGCGTCAGAGCTGGACGCGGGGGCTATCGGGAGCTGCTGCCGCCGCCATCCTTCAAATCGACACTCCACCAAGAGACCCGCCCTCCTCTGACTGGTTTGTTTCAGGTTCACGGCCAATCAAACCAACGATGGCAGCGACCATTACCCAATCAGGGGCAGAATTAACACACGTAAGAAAAGTAGCTCCAACCGATGCTCCGCGATGACGTGTTTAAATACATTCTGCCGCCTGCCGAAGAGTCAGTTGTTATGGCGTAACACCTGTGTGAACGGTAAGTGAGATGCGGAAATATTATACCGGTATATTGTTTGAACCGGTATACGGTGCAGCCCTATGTTTAACCATGCAATATAGTGCCCTATCTTTACAATTGTATCGGTTATAGTTCATTTTATATTGTTTTACCGGTGTGTGTGTGTGTGTGTGTGTGTGTGTAGGTCTGTGGTGGACCCCAGTCCTCCTTCCAGTACCTACCCATTCTTCCCACTGTGCCGCCCTGTGCTGAGCGTTCTCAGCCTCCTGCCTCTCCTCCTCAGCCTTCTCCTGGGCTTCTCTCTCCATCTTCTCTTCAGCCTTCCTCCTCTCCTCTTCCTCCAGGCTGGTGGGGCCGTAGTTCCTGGGCTGGCCCACTGTGTCAAAGATCGTCTGCATCATTAGCAGGTGGTCGGGTTCCTCGCTACTTGTGATCTCTGGAGGGGTTCGAAGACATCGGTCAGTGGTGGGCATGTCAGAATGTCTCGTCTAACGTCTCTGAGGCTTGATGTAGCACCTTTACAATCATACGATCAGCAGTTAGAAAAGGATGCTATTAATACTACTATCAAGTGAACACAATGCGTGTGAGTTGGGACACAACACTGGCAGATCAACATTAAGTCTATATTATCTTTCCCTCGTCTGTAATTCACGGCTTCACTAAAGCCTGCCGCAGTGATACGTCATGGATTACCCAGGTACAGAGGGGAGAGGTCCAGCTCCTCAAAGTAGTTCACGACAGTTTCATCCTCCGCGTTGTTCTCTCTGTATCCGGCCAGTCGTCGCTGGAAGTGCTCCTGCTCGTAGTTGTGCTCCTGTACCAGCCTCTCAGGCAGCATCATCACGCGGTGCTCCAGGAAGATGTCCGACGCATCCAGGCACAACACAAACTCTGCGGTACACACGAGGAGACCAGTCCAAAAACTACAACTCTTTCGACGCTTTCTGTCAACAGTCCAAAAAGCACCTAGACATATGCCACATGGGGGCTTGGTACAGGGTCTGCTGGCTTCAATCTCACATTCCAAAGGGCCAATAGCCCCACAGACCTGGCATAATCTTCCTCCTGCATGAAGACATCTGGGTAGCTCCGTCTTCTGGTTGGCTTTCTTCAGCTGAAAATGAAAGCAGACAGATGTTTATGTATATCTGTCCTATATATCCATGTTATACTAGGTGTGAGCAGTAGTGTAGCGTCACCATAGAAGAGCTCTTTGGCCTGTTCATATGTCTTAGGGAAGCCGTCGAGTACAAAACCCTGGTTTCTGCACGGAGGAGACATCAGCTTGTTCCTCACCACCTTCACCAACAGCTGCTCATCCAAAAGTCCTACCGGGCAACACGCAGACATCACACTGGGAAGAACTTAGGGAGACACTTTTAATGACGTTAAAAAAGCAAACATTTTAACATTAACATTGTTAATAATAACTGTCTCTACTCAAGTTCAGGTCAGTGTGTCTCTGCTCAACGCAAACGGTCTGAACGCTGACATAAACATGTTCTATTCAGTGAGAACAGCAGACAAAGGCTGCAGGGTGAATCTGGGTATCAGAGTGTGTACCTCCGTACTGCTCCATACTGTCCTTCAGGCTGTTCAGAAACTCCTTGGCCTCTACTGCAGAGTTCTCATCCGCTGCATCTGGATCAGCATTCCTCACATTATCTTCCTAGAGATGGAATTGTTTGGACACAATAACCAGTGTTGATTTTGTTAACGAAAGCTAGCATTACATTTTTATGGCTAAGAGGTGCCATTAAACAGAAATTGGGATATTGACATACAGTACTGTTAACAAGGTAGAAAATAGATCTCTAGATCTTCTGTGGGTTGGATCCCTTCTGGTGGTTGGTATAAACATACTTTAGCAAGTTGGCCGGTGCTGATCGGCTGTCACAACGCTCAGAAGGCTAAAAATGGCTAAAACGTTTCCCAGACAATGAAACATTTTGGTGCTCGGAGGGGCTAACCAGGCTAACCAGAGGGGCTAACCAGTTGTGAGATGGTTTCCGCGATGGTTTCCTTCAGTGTGATGTGTTGGACCTTGTAGTATTCACTGATCTGTTTGGACACTGTGCTCTTCCCCACTGCAGGAGGCCCCAGCACACACAGGCGGAGGGGCTGGAGACAACACACTTACATAGGTTACCTAGCAGCGCCTGGATGCTAAAACCTTTTCACATGGTTGATCCTTTACCAGAAGTCCCCTGGCTTTCTGGTACTCCTCCACCACCAGCTCCATGTTGTCCACCAGACCCGTCTCACACAGCCAGTCGATGGGGATCAGTTCTTTAAGATGGACATTCTGCATGCGCAGGTTGACAAGCAAGGAATCGATTTCCACCGTCTGTCAGGGGAAGACATATTCTACATCAATAGTAAAATAACTCAAATTCAACATTTGGGGAAATTGTTCACTCACTAATTTGTTTGAGGAAGAGACAAAGACAAATAGAGTAATGTACCCTCATGTCTCTGGGTTCATTCTGGTGTCTGTCCAGTGTTTCCATAAAGACTGAAACAAGCAACCCGGCTCCGTCCAAAGAATACAACTAGCAACTGGTCTACAGCTCAACTATGAACGTAATTCATTTCTTTTGTTTAGTCGTTACGTCAACAGGTTGGAAATAATTCACGGCGAACAACGATCGAAGAATCTTGAGCAGTTCGTCCTGCTGGCGGGAGGCTAGCCGGGCCTGATCATAGCGTACGGAGTGAGGCCTGTCTCTGCAGCCACCACCCGAACTGTGACATCAAGACTCATGACGAGACGCTTCACACAGTCACTGCAGACAGCGGCCTTTTGTCAGGAAACTGATCCATTACAGAAAGAAAAAAATGATCTTTTTTGGTTACTGTTCTCTATAGATTCATAAAAACTGATGTGTAATTATGTGTAATTACTCACTGTGGGGGTACTGTATTTTTTAACTAATAGCAGGACAAGATTTTTGGTTACCCTTGCATCAAGTCCTCATGCTAAGCTAAGCTAAGCCTGACCCCAGCCTCTAGAACGTGCAAATATGAGATCCACCATGCATCTCGATCCCAGAAGAAAGTCAATAAATGTATCTCTAAAAATGCTGCACCACTTCTTTAAAGGCTTCAAAATATGTCAGTTTTCCTTCCCAGGTGTATAGCAGGGGTGTCAAACTCATTTTAGGTTTGGGCCAGATACTGCCCACTTTCATCTCAAGTGCGGATGGTCCTGGGGGGGGAGGGAGAGGGGATCTAACACAGGGGTCCTCACACTTTTCAGGTTCGCAGGCTACTTTTCACTCAACTTTTCACTCCAACTCATGGCGGTCTACCCCCCGCCCTTTTCCCGGTCCGGCAGCTCGCCTGAATAATAGTAATTGCGAGCAGAGCGGGAACCAAAACGAACCACAGCGCTGCACACCGGGAGCGCAAAACGAATCGATACAAACAAAACACAACGAGCCTCTCGTCTCTCGGAAGCGATCGCGCATGCGCGCTGACCTGACGTCATTTTTCTTCTTCCAATGGCAGGTGATCAACCGGCACTGCGTTGGTGAATGACCTGGTCCCGCTGGTCCAACGCGTGCGCTCACTCAGAGTGAGAATTTTTAGGAAAAGCAGCTACTTTTATAGAAATGCAATTTATGTCTTTCTGTAATTCTCACAATAGCAAAGTCATGCGGTCAGCCTGGCCTCGAGTTTGACACCTGTGGTGTATAATAATACATTAAAATGTCCTGAGCATTGCAGTAAAGTGGTGCAACGTACACTCAAGTCCTCAGTGAGATAGGCCTCCTCAAAAGGCCTTTTCTGGACCTTTCCTGCTCCAAACATAGAGGCAACTTCCTGTTGGAGAAAGAACTTACATGTCATCATAGTTTGAGTTTACCACTGTGAAGAACGTAAAACAACCCGATACACTCATCGTCTAAAACAATACTCTAGTTACAATAGTCTGTTTTCTCATAAATTCACACACCCTCACGATCTGCTCCAAGGTATTGCTGGAGGAGTCCACAGCGAGAAGGTAATAAGGCTTGGGCTGGTGTTTAATCACATTCAGGATCACCCTTAAACAGAAAGAAAATCACATTGTATCTACGTTTACTTGATTTCATGATGAAGAGCTGGAAGCAAAATTCTATAGAATCTTTGACTTCATAATTTTTCAAGAAGAAAAACAACACATATTTGTTCTACCTCGCTAGGTCACTGACGTGAATCGTGGGGACGATGTTTGTTCCGTCTCCAAAGACGGGTGTTTCATGTCCCAGCCATGATGTCTAATAACACATATTATTGCAGTTATTTACACATATGAAGCACATTCACACATTTCACATTGTATTTGATGGGAAGGAAAATGGAATGGAAGAATCGGATTCATTTGTAAGATCAACAGGAAGTGCATATGATTGGCAGCCCACACATGTTTTGGGTCAATCCCGTACATTTCAAAGCTGCCTTTTCTCGTACATTTCCCCCACCCTCAGTCATTTTCCATCACACGGGGTTAGGTCAAGCCTCCATGTTGTGAGAGCAATACCCACATGAAATAAACACAAGCATGTTGTTGTTCTTTCCCCTTGACCACTTTGATCCAACAGTTCAATGGCCGCCTGCCCTGGAGGTGCAGTAGATGCAGTCAGCCAGCTTCCTTGAGTGTTTACTCAGAGACTGAGGTCGGGAAGGATCGCTGAGCTTAATGCTGTCGGCGGCTGTGGGTGAGTGGGGAGCACGGTCGTCCTCCAATCAGAGGGTTGGCGGTTCGATCCCAGGCTCTGCTAACCCGCCATGTGCCCTTGGGGAAGACACTTAACCCAACAATGGTCCTGTAGCATGTAGTGTTAAAACGCTAAAGTACAGCCCATTACCATTTACCATCAGGTGTCCCAGTATTTCAACCCCCCCCCCCCCCGATACTCACAACAGCCATACATATTAGGTGATCATACATATTAGGTGATCATACATATTAGGTGATAATTTGCCAAAACTTCATACTGATACTTTACTGTCAGATCAAGTCTTGGTCTTGAATACAAACAGCATCATTTGAGTCATCAATGAAAGAAAAAAAGGTAAGAAATCTGAAAGGGAACTGCACCAAAGTAGATCCTGATGAAAAGTACACAATCCCTACATGAGAAAGACAACACGTGTCCCTGCCTCACAAACACAATCTTTCCACTACGATGATGATGTGATCGCAGTCGCTCAGATCTATTCAGGCAGCAGCCCCCGTTTGTGTTCTCATATCCGAGTCACACAGCGAAGCCTCTGTAGTTATGGAAAACAGAAATCACCTGAAGGACATGCTGTGACTCCCAGAAATGGTGTATTCTACACTGCTAACCAAAGTTGTATTATCAGTTTTATTTGACAGACTGAGAAAATGGAAAGGCCGCTGTGCTTAACTGCCTCCCGTTACAAAATGAAGATGAAAAGAACAAAAACGAATGGAGCCACGGGATCCAGCAAACAACAACAACAAACATGAGGAAATATAACAGAATCTAGTCCCCAACGGACACGTGGGCATAGCCGCTCTAATAACACCGTCGACTTTGTTGCGGGATTCAAATTAAAAACCAAAATGTCACCACCAAAAACTAGACTAAATGTGAGAACAACCTTCAAGTCAAAATCAGTTCTCACTTCCCACACAAAGGCATCTTCTTGTACACTCACGCAACAGTCTTTAAATCTCACCTTGAAGAAGTAGTGGAAGACCTGCTCTCCCATCCCGTACTGAAGTCCTGACGCCACCACGTATGTGGAGAACAATCCCCTCTTCTAAAAGCAACAGCCATAAATGGTCAGATCCACGCCTGTCAATCACATGCATCACCTGCACAAAATGGAAGGAACGACGAGGCTCACAGTTTTCCCCATGTGGACCACCTTCTTCTCCAGGTCAATGTGTGGTTGGAAGTTGGGATGTGGTCTCCTTTTCAAGAAATGCTCATCAGTGAAATCCTGCAACACAAGGCAGACAACAACCGCCACGGGGCAACAAACCCAAAGGACCCAAGTACAGAGTTGGTGAGCGTCGAAAAAAACAACAACAACCGAAATGCATTCGATGGAGTTACTGTAAAGAAGTATTACATTCAAGAGACATATTGAAGTTACAACCCACTCATATGTCATCATATACCAACACACAGGTTAGCATCATAGGACCCTCACTGGGCGGGAGGAGCAAACACACACAGGACTTTGAACTGGGAGCAACAACAACAACAACAACAACCCCTGGCTTCACTTTGTTCCAACATTAGCCGCATGCTGACCTGAAGCTTTAATCCACACGAAATAAAATATCGGTCATAGTGTGAGTAATCATATCCACTTTTCTTTGTACATAGTGCCAATTTCACTATTGATCAGAAAAATATATGAGGAAAATCGTCTGTTGTCTCACATGCTTAGAGGAGAGGTCGTGCTACATGATATGGAACTGAAGCTAAGAGCACAATTTCAATCAAGAGGAGTAAAAATAAATAAATGCATGACTGCCTAAATACCTGCATCTCAATATGTGAAGAGGAAAACTGTTTCAGGACTGTTTTCATGTTGCACAGACTTATGGTGTTGACCTTAGAGGTGCTGCGTGTGGCCACTCACAGAATTGAGCGGCTTGCTGGCTGCCCAGGTCATCACCGTGGAGACCAGGATGAACATCTTCCCTCCGGAGAAACGGCCCATCTCCTTGTGGAGAGCTACAAATACAACACACGAGACAATGAGCAGAAGATATCACAATCATGTAGCACAAAGGGCAAATAGAGGAGCTGCAACGCGTACGAGCTCTTCATTCTGACAGTTTAGTCTAAAAATATAAAACCAACAAGTTAACACAAATAGTACCTACAACAATAGTAACGCAACAGACAACGAGAAGATCCACCAAGCTCCCAGCGCAAACTGAGGACTGCTGACCTGAAACGGCCCACAGGGCCTCATCCACCTGCTCGGCATGCTGGGTAATGTTGTAGATGATCACGTCGCAGTCAATCAGCTTTGACAGGAGCTCCTCCCTGTTGGGTTGCTTGAACAAGACAGTAAAGTGCAGTCACTCTGATTTGGTCTGAGATGGTTGCAGGTGTCCACGAGGAAGGGGGGCCCTAGAGAGGAAGGGGGCCCCAAAGAGGAAGGGGCCCCAGAGAGGAAGGGGCCCCAGAGAGGAAGGAGCCCCAGAGAGGAAGGAGCCCCAGAGAGGAAGGGGGCCCCAGAGAGGAAGGAGCCCCAGAGAGGACCAGAGAGGAAGGGGGCCCCAAGAGAGGAAGGAGCCCCCAAGAGAGGAAGGAGCCCCAGAGAGGAAGGGGGCCCGAGAGAGGAAGGGGGCCCCAGAGAGGAAGGGGGCCCCAGAGAGGAAGGGGGCCCCTAGAGAGGAAGGAGCCCCTAGAGAGGAAGGAGCCCCAGAGAGGAAGGGGGCCCCAGAGAGGAAGGAGCCCCAGAGAGGAAGGGGGCCCCTAGAGAGGAAGGAGCCCCAGAGAGGACCAGAGAGGAAGGGGGCCCCAAGAGAGGAAGGGGGCCCCAGAGAGGAAGGAGAACCAGAGAGGAAAGGGGCCCCAAGAGAGGAAGGGGGCCCAGAGAGGAAGGGGGCCCAGAGAGGACCAGAGAGGAAGGGGGCCCCAAGAGAGGAAGGAGCCCCAGAGAGGAAGGGGGCCCCAAGAGAGGAAGGAGGCCCCAAGAGAGGAAGGAGGCCCCAGAGAGGAAGGGGGCCCCAAGAGAGGAAGGAGGCCCCAGAGAGGATGGAGGCCCCAGAGAGGAAGGGGGCCCCAGAGAGGAAGGAGGCCCCAGTGTTTCAAAGTGACTGATGCATATGTGCGTTGCAGTGGGCTACACACAGTACACTAAAGACACAAAAGGAGAAGGGGGAGGCAAACTGTTACTTACTAAATACGCCTCCACAACACATGGAAGGGCCACTGCATGTCTGCCACTGACGGTTCCTACAACGTGAAAAGCTGTCGCGGCACCATGGGGGGTTATCTCGAGCTCCTCCTCCTCCTCCTCTTCCTCCGTCTGTCCGCCCACACGCTCAGACAGACACTGCGGGGGAGAACGGAGTGTTAATGGAGAGAACAGGTGTGCACAAGGCTTCACCTCACAAAACCAAATCCAAGCGTGCGCTCTGATCGGTGGTGAAATGGCTTTTCCGATTGGTTCCAATCATCTCGAGTTGGCAGCAGACGAGCTGGGCCTCCTGCGTGGATCCTCTTTGCGTCTCCTGGGTCAAGTGGGGCGGACGTCACGTCACCTGGTTGAGGCTAGCTTCTTCCAGCTTCGGCTTCTAGCCAAAGTCCAACCCGATCTAAACATGCTTTTATATCTTCGCGCTTGGACTATTGCAACTCCCTGTATGTCGGTATCGGCCAATCAGAACTCAACCGTCTACAGCAGCCCGTCTCCTGACCGGGACAAAGAAGCGTGGGCACATAACGCCAGTGCTTTCCTCTCCACTGGCGTCCCGTTAGGTTCAGAATGGATTTTAAGAGTCTTTTATTTGTTTTTTAAGTCTCTGCATGGTCTGGTCCCAGAATATTTATCCAGGCTTATTAATGTTAAAACGAAAGGAGGTCGAGCCTTCGCAGTAGCGGCTCCCAGACTGTGGAACGCTTTGCCGTCTTCTGTGCGGTCTGCGACGAGCCTCCACTTTTAAAACTCGCCACTTGTTCACATTGGCCTTTGGCTGCGTTAAGTCCCCTGCATCGATCTTTTTTTGTGTTTGCCTTGTACTGTTTTTTTTAAATTATTTTATTTTTTGCTTGCTTGTTTGTTTTACGTTTGCTTGTATTGTTTTTATCCTGTAAAGCACTTTGGATGGCCACTGGCCTTTAAAGGTGCTTTATAAATAAAATTGACATTGACCTAAAGCCTAGTTTATGAGCGCTTGTACAAGCCGTCGTTGGCGGACTATGAGGACGCCGGACGGCCTCTGATTCATGGAGGGAGATCTCCACCAACGAGGGGAACAAAGTCGTGGAGGAAAATACGGGACAAATGTGTCCTTGATGAAGAGCAGCAGTGTGGACGCACGGGGCAATAAAGTCTATGATACATAAATAAAGCAACCAGCGACTTCCACACACAAAGACGTGACTCTCTAGGTCGTCTTCAACCAAACACGTGACTCCACCTGTTGTTCTGGAGGTGAATCGCTCTGCAACACACGCGAGACTTTACAACCAGGAAGTGAAACCAGTGCGTAAAGACGCAGAAACACGCGGCGGCCTCCATTCACTCACTTGTGCGATGCTTTCGGACGCGTAGGAGTCGATGTGGTTGATGAAGACCCTTCGGACCCGGGGGGGCGCTCCGGCTTCCTTCATCCTCGGCTGCGCGATATCCGTCCGTCTCCGGGGTTTTTGTTGGTGGACCGTTGCCATGGAGATGCCCCGCTCGCGCGCCGCGGAGCGGGCGGAAGTGGATCTCACCACGTGACTGTGCGTGCGCGCATCATGACTGCATGAGAGCACGATGCAGACCAACAAGCTGAAGTACACGTCGTTCAGGACAACAGCTCCACAAGACCATGAAACCACAAGCTGCTTTGGTTGCACCAGTTTTATTAGACAGGTTTTAAAACATTAACCATTATTTCCCCGTAAACACCTTGGTACAAAAAAACAATCTATTTATTAGCAAACTGTAGAGACGCTTTAGAATTAAGCTTTTAATATGTCAGCAACTAGAAGATGGGGAACATTTTTATTTGATTTAAATCAATATTCTGCCACCACAGCGAAGTTATCAAACTGAGCCGGCTCAAATGAGGCGGTTCCAATGGCCGCCCAGCCGCTCTTTGGGCTCAGCACCACAGCGTTCTTCCACAGCGGGTACCCGTTCAGCAGCCCAGACGCGTACTGACCCTACAGGAGGGGAACACGTTACGTACACCCAGCGTGGACACGGAGTACATTCAGCACCTTGGGTCTCCACTTACTGCCACGGTGAGGGACAACGTGTGCCAGCCGTAGGCTCGGGTCCCAGACCTTCCCTCTGCCAGCACGGTCTGTCCAGCTGAGGACACAACAACAGAACCCATCATCTCCAGAAGTACCTCCAGTTACAGCTGAAATGTTTCATTTTAATTGGCTTTAAAAAAAAAAAGAAAAATACTACTTTTTATAATGTCAACAAATTCCATGAAAATACCACAAAAAAATACTGAACAAAGAAGTTGACAGTGATTGACAGGCACTTAAAAAAGCAAGGCAGGCATGAAGACAACGGAGCTATAAAAATATGATAAGTCACAGCAATTATTGCCTTTTATATATTTTGAAACCGTTATTTAGACTCAATCCCAAACACAAAATTTGGATTAATCCGCCACTAAAAATAGTCCAACAAAATGCACCTTTCCTTTCTGGAATTGACATAGAATCATACAAAGCATGGCATATACACGTGTGAGCGGTCTGTGGTGTCCATGATGACCACTGACCGAGGTCGTTGGTCACTTTGTACGTCCCGTCTGCAAACACCCAGAAGAAGACTCCTCTGGCGCTGCGGACCGACTGGCCTCCTTTATCCACCCGGGCCGCTATGAACACGCCGCCCGTCTTCACGCGCTCCATGAAGACGTCACACGTGACCGTCAGGTTCCCCCTGTGACATCACAGAGTGTCGTTATGTAGGACAAGAATCTAAAAAACAAGTACTCCTTTATTTCACAGTTACGCCAGTTTTCATTTAACGTTTCCCCATCGTAACTTTCATACCTGCAAACTCGCAGGGGCTGAAAAAGGGGACAACGGGGAAGAGGGGGCGCCTGATTTGCATAACGGTAACGGAGCCCGCAGGCGGCTTTGCACATGCACGCTTCATGTTGCGTCTCTGCTCTAACTGCTGTACGCGGGGCTCCTGTGAGACGAACATGCTGAGGACGGGCAGTGCAGAGGGACACGTCGGCTCCCATGACACAAGGCTTTGGAAGTTGGCAACACGGATTCAGAGTGAAAGGATGAAGACCTCAATGCTGATCGGCAAGGCAACAAGTTTGCAGGTGTGTATTCTCAGTGGCACACCAGCGCCGACTGGTACTGTACGACTACAGGTACCGTTCCTCACCACTGATGGTCCCCTACGACACTGATGGTCTGGTCAGCATCAGCCGCCCACGTGACGGGTCTCTCGGTCACAACCTGTCGTAAGGTGAAGACGTGAGGTCCGGGGTCGCTCATGTTCACGTAGTACTCAAAGACGCCCGTCTGGTCAGCGAAGTTGGGGGCCTCTGAGAAAGGGGGGTTTCCTGCGCAGAAGAGGGATGGGGACACACGCTCAACACCAGCACCGAAAACAACTGGAAGTCAAACGCAATTGAAAAAAAGGGTCTAAAGGGCTCTTAATGTGTTCCACAACTTGGGTTGGCGCTTGGCTCCTTTTCTTCTCGGGCTCCGCGTTCGGTACTTACGCACGTTGAAGTCGTCCTTGTAGACTTTGGGGAAGCGAGCGGAGGGGGGGGAGGGGGGGTAGCTGCCCTTCTGCCCGCTGGTAATGGTGGTAAATGTGTAAACTTCATCTTCAGCCAGTTCAATAGTGAATAATCCATTGAAAAGCTGAAATGACGAGTAAACATCAGCATGTCGAAACAACTGAAACCTAGTAACGTTATTTGTGGGAGGATCTTGTACCTTCTGTGGAGGTAGTTTCTCAAAGAAGGAGGACTTTTTGGTTTTAAAGTTAAACTGTGACCTCCAAACTTGGAGCTCCTTGATGGAGGCCTAAGGGAAATAAGTGACCTACAATCAGAATCATTTGTTCATTTTAAAACAGCACCATGATGACCGCAAGGGAACTTACAAAGGATCCCTCTAGCTGAAAAGTTGCATTCTGGGATGTCACATTGAAGGGAGGGAGCGGAGGTCTTATGCACACGGAATGATCACGAGTCTGCAAAAGAAACGTCAAATATTTAACACAAGACACAAACGTTGTGCGCTCTACAACATCCTGTACAGCTTCACCCCAAACGCCTTTAAACTGCACAACCACAGCAGGGACAGCAGGAAGCAGCTAAAAGTGAACAATAGGAAAGCCCAACTTGCCATGGTCTCTATGACAACAGTGAGGTTTCCCTTCCCATCAGTCAGCGCCACATAACTTCCTCCTTGTGCCAGATGGCCAACAGTCTGCAGGTAGGTCCACCCGGGCTGAGTGAACTGGGTGGTGTGGGCTACGAGGGGGACGATCATCATCAAAACAAAGACCACTTCTTCAAGGTTCTCACAATGAATGACTGAACAAGGAACGGGTCTCACCTGTGATCCAGATAGGAGACTCCACCACGTAGTTGCCGCTCCAGGGCTCCTCAGCCGTCATCAGCCCGTCTCTGCTGAAGGGCAGGTCCTCATAATAGCTGGCCACCAGGTTCCAGGAGATGGTGCTGAGAAAGAGCCACGGGCCATTCAGGGTTTGTACAACGGCAACACGGAAAGTTGTTTCTTAGGTTTGCTTAAAATGAACCATTACAAAGCTTGTACCGTACGTGGTGCGTCGACTTACGCAGTCATGAGTCCGTTGACGTAGTTCTGGTTGAGGATACGAGCCCAGCAGCCTCCTCCGACCTCATCGTTGAATGTGCTGTAGTCCTCGGACGCCCACAGCTTCTTCTGCGTCTTGAGGGCCTCCTCCGGCGAGTTGGTGCCGGGGTAGTGGGCCCTGAGTGGCACACCAGTCATTCTAGCTTTAGCAAAGGGCAGCCATTGCTACGGCACACATGCAGCCGTCTAATCCTTTGAGACAGCGTAGAGTAGTAGATTTAGACACAGCCTGTAAATATGAAATGCTTTGCTACGTTAGTGCAGATGTTAAAAAGACACTCAAGTCCCAACTCGGTAGTCACTGGCTTTCATGCACGGCAGTATTCAGCGAGTTAGCAGCTCCACAGTAGAACGCCACAACGTCTCTCTCTACTATAGAAAACACCGGGTTCCTAAAGGTTCACACTCGTAACCGAGCCCGGATCTGGAAAACACTTTAACGCAGCGGCCCCCAACCTCTTTGCCTCTTTGCCTCATGGACTCGTGGACCGCTTTCATGTTGGAATACATTTATCGGACCGTTTTGAACACGACGAAATGAAAAGATACGACCTGCAAAACATTGGCCCTTGGCGGATGAGAGTTACCGGACGCTAGAAACACTAAAAAAAGGACTCCTACTTAAATGAAGCTTGATTCGGTTTTGAAGGTGTAGGCTATTCTCCCCGTTTGGTTTTTGCTCATTTTCACTAGAGCACAACGCATGGATTTGGGAGAGAATCTGGTCATTTTTCAGTATGATTGAAGTAGGATTGTTTCTGTGCGGCCCGGTGGTTGGGGACCACTGCTTTAACGTAGGGAAACGCCGACACACTGGAGGGGAATCGATGCTCGTGCACTAGCAGCAGAAGGGTTGTGACCAGAAGCATAGCCACACTTTGAGTACCGTGCAGGTAAATACTATACTCCTATTTAGCGCAGGTATGCGCGTGCTGTTGATAGCTCAGTGTCAGAGACCAGATGTCAGAGACAGAACAGAAGCCGGCCCTACCCGATCACGTCTACGGCTCCGCTGAGCTCTGGGTCGAGCAGCACGGACCGGACAACGGGCTCCCACAGGTTGTCACTGGCTACGATCCTGACTGTCTCCAGGCCACGCTTATCCAGAGTGTAGCGCAGCAGCTGGGTCAGTGACAGTCACATGGAGACAGAGCACAACACACACCTTCAACTAGGGCCGTCACAACATCAGATTTCTGTGGTCGATTGTTGCACCAACATTATTTGCGATAAACAATATTATTGCAATTTTCAGACCATTGTGTGGTGCTGATTATGATGACAGTATAATAGCGTCGTCATACAGGTACGCTCTAGTCATTGGGACACGGAGCCGGCGGAGCGCCGGGCGGAGCATCGTGCTCGGTGTGATGCGGTACGTTCAAGAAAATGTGTCCATTGGAAAAGCGCCGCGGCAACCGGAGAAGTTCACCAAAGACTGGGCGGATGATTTTAGCTTAGTTGCGTTGCCCGTTTCCATTGACATGGTTTTTAAAAGTCGACGTACCGGCTCGTTCCCGTTATTGGTTCTCTTCTGTCATTCGACCTAAAGCCAATATGTTCCCAAGCTGAAGATACCAAATCCATTTGGACTTTTTTGGTTTATCCTGTTAACGGTCACGCGTTCCCTCCCGCTGCCTAAGCCCCGCCCCCAACAATGGAAGCAGAGGGAAGCTATATATATATATATATATATATACACACACACACACACACACATACCTAACCGTCGACCCACCATGTAAGGTGGGTTAAAGGTAAGGGTGGGTGGCGAGGTGGGCACTGCCGACCCTGCCGAAATCCAAACATGAAAATGTTTACTAAATCATTTTATTTAATAAACATTTTTACTGTTCTGGCAGAATAAGCTGCTGTTACCGTCCGTTCATTGCAGACATGTGGCGCATGGACACTTTGATCCTGTATTCTACGACATGTACGTCATAAAGCACAACTCTGCTGCGCCTTTCACATTAAAAGGTTACGCCAGTAATCATCTACGTTACGTATCAAACATGGACCAATTAATAGAGATATTACTGCACATTCGCCGATATCACGGATCTGAGACCAGTCACGAGGAGCGGCGGATGGATTTTATGTACAAACACTCGACCGATTGGTGAGTCAGAAACTATTTCGGGCTCATATTGAATTGAAAGTGTGGTTGAATGGATGCCGACTACAAGCCATTTGCCTTCATATTCAGCAGTGTGTGTTTTCATTGGTGCTGACTGACAAACACAATTGCCCGCTGTGCAAGAAAAGGCACGAGAGGCCGGACTTTGTCGTCAATAATGTTACATTCGGTTGCGAAAGCCACTATTGCCCCAAACATACGCTTTTTTTCGGGCGATCGCCACCGAAACCAAGTAATAACTGCTGTGTGTGCGCGGCCAAGCGAGAGAGAGAGAGTTGTAGTAGTGATTTGTCATCTCGATAGGAAAATTCATGAGATCGACCATGCGAGTGTGCACGTGTGCGTGTGTGCGTAACGTTTACGGTTTTGACGTGTTAGCCTAAAGAACAAATCAGGTGACATGACTCATAACTACCCTCTTACTGACGTCACTGATTACGTTGTAACGAGTTAGCAGGGCAGTCCGCCCTATTTATCAGCCAGTCGTCTTCAAAGCAGGGACATGGGACACCCTGATCACCCTGATTGGTCACCAGTCAACTGCAAGGCTCACACACAACCCTTCACCCCCCCTGGGGCGTCGCATGCTCGGATTTCTTTTGTCTCAAATCATCCCAAAATAGAAGCGTTGCACAAAGCTTTGCAGAGTCTGTTGCGATGCCAGTTCAACAAGTACAGTGCTGAATAAGGATGGTGTCAACATGTGGTGCTCAAATGCATCTACCGTATAGAGTTAGTTTTAATCGTTAAAGCCCAACATGAAAAAACAGCCACAAACATTGAGGTTTGAAGAAGAACAGCTGATCCATTTATAGAGGGACGTCTCTGTCAATTAGTCCAGCAGTGGTCAGGGGTTCATTTGTCCTTGGCTGGACTCACAGGTGAGACCACGCTGCTCTGGCATTGGGTCAAACGACTGACTAAGCAGTGCGACTTCGGATCGGCACATTGGACCAACTGTACTCACCCAATGGCCTCAACACACTCAGTAAGGTAGGGGTCAACCAGCATAGAGTTGGCGATGCTCCAATCGCCATCTGCTGCGACGATGCCAACGCCGGTTAGCCCAACTTTATCCAGCGTGTTCCGGAGCACCTTGGCAACAAAGACATGCTCTCAGAGGAACGCAGGGAGCAGAAGGTCCAACGGAAACCTCTTTGACACAAAGGACTAAATTGGAGTCATACACTCACCTAAAGGATTATTAGGAACACCAGACTAAAACTGTGTTTGACCCCCTTTCGAGATTTGTGGGATTCACATCCAGGGCGGGAAGCTCCCGTTCCACCACATCCCAAAGATGCTCTATTGGGTTGAGATCTGGTGACTTATGCCAAATTCTGACTCTACCATCTGAATGGCTCAACACAAATCGAGACTCATCAGACCAGGCAACTTTTTTGCAGTCTTCAACTGTCCAATTCTGGTGAGCTCTTGCAAATTGTAGCCTCTTTTTCCTATTTGTAGTGGAGATGAGTGGTACCCGGTGGGGTCTTCTGCTGTTGTAGCCCATCCGCCTCACGGTTGTGCGTGTTGTGGCTTCACAAATGCTTTGCTGCACACCTCGGTTGTAACAAGTGGTTATTTCAGTCAAAGTTGCTCTTCTATCAGCTTGAATCAGTCGGCCCATTCTCCTCTGACCTCTGACCTCTAGGATCAACAGGGCATTTCCGCCCACAGGACTGCCGCATACTGGATGTTTTTCCCTTTTCAGACCACTCTTTGTAAACCCTAGAAATGGTTGTGTGTGAAAATCCCAGTAAGTGAGCAGATTGTGAAATACTCAGACCGTCCCGTCTGGCACCAACAACCACGCCACGATCAAAATGGCTTAAATCACCTTTCTTTCCCGTTCTGACACTCAGTTTGGAGTTCAGGAGATGGTCTTGACCAGGACCACACCCCTAAATGCATTGAAGCAACTGCCATGTGATTGGTTGATTAGATAATTGCATTAATGAGAAATTGAACAGGTGTTCCTAATAATCCTTTAGGTGAGTGTATATCTATATATCTATATCTATTTTACACTTCCATGTCAATATTTCCATCATGTCTGCTGTAGAAATTTAACGCACAGGATCTTTTACACTGTTCATTCTGTGCACATGAAATCCACTGCACAGACTTCAACGCCTTCAGAGGCTAATTTGTCATTTTGGGCTCCACAAATTGAACTGAACACAACTCGATGTTAGAGGCTGTTTTTCTCCTTTCGTTTACGGTTTAGATTGATCTTACCCATAATGCACATGTATCAGTCAGATCCATGAGATGACACTAGGATATGAAGTTAGGATTACCTTGATGTACTTGCTGTCATAGCTTCGCTCGTTCCAGATCTAAAAACATGAAAGTGAATGTCAGACAACAAGTAATCCACGTCAGCTAAAAGATGAGGTGAGCAATACTCTCTTCATGCTTACCCGATCAAAGAGGTGATTTTACGTGAAACAAACGTAGTATTTTTTTTTATTAAAGTGGTACATTTATAAAGAGAAACAATAAGTAAAAATAGTAGTCAGATGTTTAAGAAAGAAATCTGAGATTAGTCACAAATTCAAAAACCGGGGATTTGTGAAGAACGCCCCCCCCCCCGCCCCCTTTGGGCTGCTCACACTGTGGAAAAGCTGGCCTGTCAATCAGCTGATGTTAGAATTATAGTTTAGTCATATAATGGAGCTGTAGAGAATAACGCAACCCAAGGGAATACACACAATATATAATACATGGAAATAAATGGTATTACATTATCGTCCCAAGAAGTAGAAAACATGTCGCCCGTGTCCCGGATTAGTGGATAAACCCCCTTACAATATAGTGAGAGTGGTTACGACGGCGAAGCGCACACGCAATGACAATGAGGTCGTGGTACAGGATTCAAAGATTTGAGAAGTAGAAACACACACAGCAGCTGGTCATGTGACTGCTCGTATGGTTTCTGATGAGCACAATGTTCTCACTGACACTGTAAATATACAAGTGGAACTTAACAATAAACCTCAACCATAAAACAGCATTTAAACATTAACCTCACTTCATAAAAAGGTCCCTCTAGCTAGAGATGAACATTACGTCCCCCGTTGAAGGTCCAGCCCCAGCGTGGAGCTAAAATAAGATAAACGAGCACTCACCCCGACGTACTGAATGTCCAGGTCATGGTACTGCTTGGCTCCCAGGATCCAGTTCACCACGTAGGCTGCAGTTATGTCTGGGAAGTCATAGGGCCAATTCTTCCCATGACCCACCCAACCAGGAAAGGCCCAGGGAAGACCTACGAGGAGACGCCAACACACAGGCAAGATGCAGCATCTGAAACAACTAGGGCTGCAACTAACGAGCATTTTGATAATCGATCAATCGCTCAAATATTGTTTGGATTAGTCGATTTGGATTAGAAAAAATAAAAAAACGGCATTGAAAAGTTTTAATTTCCAGCCCTTTATTCTAAAACAGAACTGCTAATTCACATTGAAAAAATACAGGTTGCTCCTTGAACATAATACTAATTTATAAAAAATGAAGAAACATACAAATCAGATAAATTAGCAGGATTTGTGTTAACGTCAGAACTTGTTCTCTATAATACACTCGCTCTCACACACTTGAAGCTATTACATTTACTTGCCAAGTTGCACTACAATGACGGTATCTAAGTACAGATAAAAAATGACCAGGTGCTATGAGATGAATTTAAAATGGCATTTGTAAATAAATGCATTCGAGGCTTCTTCGTTATCCGCCCTGGTTTAATGGACCACCGTGTCTCCCTTTACAGGCACATCAACTACCGTATAACCCGCAGTATAGGAGCAAGCGCACCAGACTACCGTATATGTGTATATATATATATATATATATATATATATATGTCAACAATAACCGGAAAGCACGAAATACAAGACAACAGATTGAAAAATGAATGGTCCAAAAGAGGCGAGTAAATAAAAACGTGTCTTAGTCTGGTTAACTGCATTACTGCGGTTATTAGCGAGCTAACGCTAGCTTGTTGCTTGCCGGAGGCTCCTCACGTGTAAACGGGACAACGCGGTTCTCCCGTGCCGCGTTACGTCGACTTTGCATATTTCGCCATTGACACTTTTTTCTAGTTTAGTGTGAAATGCTCGCACACCTTGGACGTCTTCGCCTGCGTCATGTGACTCACAACTGCCGGCGCTGGTGGCGAATCTTCAACGTCGCTCGGCGCCTTTTTTATTTTTCTCCGCAACTCATTGAGTGACGCAATAATCGCGCGACACAACGAATCGATAATGATCGATACTTTGTCGCCAAGACTTTTAATCGATTGGTTGTTGCAGCCCTAGACGGAACCTCTATATCCATCCAGATGTTGTTGGTACCACTGAGAGACGTGATCTGCAGTGTGGTAGAAGACGGTTCTTACTCATCAGTGTGATATTTGGGTTCCTCTTCTTGGCCTCTTTCATTAGCCACCACTCGTACCCTCTGAAGTAGTTCTCATCATCCTCATGGTGCATGTGTGACGGCTCCGTTCCATCTGGAAAAAGAGAAGACTCAAGTGTAAAGTCATGAAGATGAACCTCTGCAGTGCATGCTGGGTACAGCCCGCTCGCCACGTTGAAGAAGAAAGACACTCATGCTGCAGCTTTGCTAGAGGAGAGCAGCACAGGGAGCTGAGAACGTGTGGACCTGGCAGCGACACGCGGACCCAGTGAACGATCCATAGCAGGGGTCAAAGACACGGCCCGCGGGCCGGAGGACGACAGCCAATCACTTTCACCAGTGTGAGTCAATGCAAACAAGGCTATCAAACATCACTCTGCAGTTTTAGTTCCAACAGTTTAACATAAGGACATCTTATTGGAAAATTAATATATATAAAAAAGCAATTTTCAGAATATGATACAACTGCCATATTATAAATATTATATAATACATTATATTAAATGCTAAATACATTACAATATAAATCTATTAGAGCATCTATGAACCTAGTTTGTTGGGGAAAGACCAACTCAAAAGCACCACAAAATATCACACATGTATTATTTTGGGCAACACGTGTTATTTTGTTAATTAGTTATCTAATTTTAATAAGAAAGTCAAAGTCAAGAGAAAACCAACCGTCCCAGCTTCCACCCTGGAGTTATTTTTACAACCTCATTCGGTGACCAAAACCACCCACCGGTAGATTGAGCGTCTCCTCCGATCTCCACCTTCAGGATGTGCAGAGATGCTCCGAAACCGGGCTGAAACCAACAAACACGCACACACACAGACACACACATCAGTAGGTCCGTCGCGCACAGCTGAGCGCTTCTCGTGAACGCGTCGTACCGTGAACAGGAAGTCCAGGATCTGACTGCGGAACGGCTCCGCGTAATTCACCAGTAACCGAGACGTCGCCTGACGGAGCAAGTGGATGAAACATGACGTCACACTTCCACGCCGCTAACGTACTCAAGCCTCAAGACCGCTGTTACGCGCCTACTGGTTGTTACACCTGCTGTTTGTTTGTTTGTTTGTTTGTCCCCTACAGCGGCACTGAGCACAGAAGGATGTCATATTAGAAATGTTCTATCCACTAAATGAAGAAATGGACGTCATGATTTACAGCCATGTAAACACTGCCTGTTTTTGTAGAAACCTTAAGGCCTTAATCGGCTTATAAGTAATTGTTTGATGGCTCACAATTTGCAAACAAATAAAAAAATCACCATGCCTGAATATCTACAAGAGCAAAAAGTCAGGAGCAAATTCTAATTGGATTCCATTCATTTTGTCCTTTAGAGGACTTTAGAATCTGTAGACGTCCTCTGTCCCAGGACCCTTACACCCAAACAGGAACAACTCCCCCAAAACCCCCTAACGGAGAAACGAGGAAGGAACCTGTGGGAGAGCAAACCGGGAGGGATCCTCCTCCCCGGATGGACACAAGTGCAATAGTCTACAGGATGATCCTCCAAACAGTCAATGCACAGAACCACAGAGGCAAGACCAGGTCCAGATGGACCCGTGACCCCCGGTGACCTGTGAGGAGACGGGTGGCAGGCAGGAGGTGCAGAGCGGACAGGGTCCTTTCCACCGTATTATCCCCTGTTTGTAATGTTACACGCTCTGTATTTAGACCCTTGCATTTCCACCCAGATAAGACGAATGTTTTAGGACACCATGTTTTCAGCAAGATGATTATCAGAGGTGAGACGTATCGGGGGGGTTCTCTAAGTTCATTAGCACCCTGTTGATTGGATTGTTTTGCCAGTGGGAAGGAGATGTTCAGATGTTGTACACTGGATCTGAGAAGAAGCGTTGACGAGTAATATATTATATTTGTAAGATTACAGAACTGTCAGTTTAATCTCACCTATGACCTTTGTCCCTGGACTTTGCTGTGCATCCCCACATTCTCTACATAGTCAGTCTGTCAGGTTTTCTAGCACACAAGTATGATTACTTTCTCAATAACATCTAAATTCATATTACAAAAAAAAGTCGTTGACTTTGGGAGGGTCCATCGGTGCTCTTTTTATCTGAAGCTTTTCGAGATATATTTCTACTGAGCAGAGGTCGCACAAACTTTGCAATTCTCCCTTTATGCTGATGTTGCTAATTAACGTGATTGATTAATCCGCGGTGTATTTTACGATTCCACGTCTGTAAAGCACTTTTTTAACGGTGTGGATGTAATGTGTAAATAACTGTTTCAAGCATCGATACACACGTTTGGAAGTGTTCCACAACACAACACCAAACACCAGCTGTCTTGGTTCACCTTGAACCAAAAGGTTTACAACTGTATACAGTTTAATACAGTAATAAGGAAACTATCAACATCATTTATCAAGCTGGCCGACGTCTCGAGACGTGTTGTTATTTTGCTCGACAGGGTTCGAATCCAGATTGAGGCGATCTTTCATTCAAATATATTTGAATCTATATTTTCTGCCCACCAGAAACCAGTCGTCTCGGTTCCCTCTGAACCAACTGGTTTTCCAGCCACTGCCGATGTACAACGAGATGCCGAGTACAGCAAACAGCAGCAGACATCAGTGCTGGTTGACGCATCGCGTCGTCTTGTACGTGTTGTCACTTTGCTTCACAGGGTTTGAATCCAGGTGGATCGTTTAATAAATCTCTGGTCTTCAATGTGTTTCTCCACACGTGGCAGTGACGTAGTGCTCACTTATACTTATACAAAGTACCCGCTGCAAAGGACACGTGAGGACTTTTGAACATTTTCAGCAAAATGTTGTGACGAATCAGGTGACCGAGGCAGAAAACATCTGCCGCTGTAAGGGACAAACAAACAAACAAACAAACAAACACGCGTAGACAAACCAGTAGGTTCAAAAACCAGTAGGCGCGTAACACCGGAAAGTTACCAGGAAGTAAGTCAACGTCGATACAACTGGGCCGAACTCACCCCTCCGCCGCTCAAACCTCCTATTCCGTCAAAAGTCCTCCCGAGGCCCCGAGCGTCGCTGAGGTTGTACGGGGGACAGGAGCCCCGAGCCCCGGTCAGAGCCCCGGTCAGAGCCCCGGTCAGAGCCAGAACCAGCGCTGCTACCGCCGACAGCTCCCTGAGCTCCATGCTGCTGCGCGCTGCACGAGCGCCGCGCGTCACGTGAGTGCTGAGCAGCGCCGCGCGTCACGTGAGTGCTGAGCAGCGCCGCGCGTCACGTGAGTGCTGATCAGCGCCGCGCGTCACGTGAGTGCTGAGCAGTGCAGTCACGTGAGATACAGAAGGCAATGTCGAATTTATTTTTTATAATTTGTTACGCCATTTTTAATTGTATTTTTCCAAATAGATACCAGAAATAAACATTGTTGTATCTTATCATGCAGCTAAATGTACCCAGCACTTTAATTGTTTTTTATTTTAATTTCTTGTTTCAAAGATGAACAAGTATTCCCAATGTTCTACGAAGAAGTCTAAAGCACATCATCTAATGCTAACCTGTGGCTGACTGCAGGTCAAAGGTGGCAGTGAAGACGGGTCTGAGTCCTTCTGGTCTGAGCTGAAAAAGGATAGTGGGCCTGCATGATTTCATCTTATTTCCCCAAAACCACCACAAAGTTGTAGAGGTAACCAATCTACTCTACTGGTCAGAACATATAGAGGCACCAGGGATGAATTGGTAGAAAGTTCCAGAAGACAGTTAGCCTTCGTTGGCTCTCCCTTTATGTGTTCTTGCCCTCTACCAAATATGACTCCTTGACTCTCATACGTTTAAATGGAAAACACATGAAGTGATCACACAATATAACACACAGTTCATTTCCCCCAAACATTCTCTACATGCTCCCACGGAGCTGTACTGTATATTCGCTTTGGAGATGCCAGATATCTACATCAACATAAATTGTCTTCAGTTTGTTCTCCCAAACAACTGCTGCAAATTATGAGGGAATTATATCTCACGTGACATATAGTTATCTTTCTCTGACAACTATGTCTATTACATTAGACGCCATCCAAATGTGATCAGCATTTTAGAACTATATTATGCACGACGGGCAATATGTGCATTCATCAACATGGATTTTTTTTTTAAACTGTCAAACCATTACCAGGCCTTTATTTGCTGTGACCCTGTGGGTCGTGGGGCCGTGATCACATTGGGTGCAGAGAAGAACACGACCAGTCAGTGTCACTGTTGTCTTGTTAACCTTCGTGAGGTTTGCATGCAGATCAATTCAGCTTCCGGTTGCCTGGGAATTATTCATAACCTTATACATTATTCAGAGTGTAGGACAGAACACTAATTATACTTGTTCAGGAGATTTATTTGAGGTTTACCCTGTTTTCTGGTGTTTACGATAACTGAGCTTTTTGAGCAACTCTGTCTGATGTGATTGGCAGCATTTGCAATATGATACAGAGATCAGTTTTCAAAAATACCAATGCAAATTATACAAAATGATATGCTTCATACATACACATATATATTTCGTCCAATTCACCACGTCCCACCCTTGTCCTCTCTATATACCTATAAATGTAGGTTTCATTCATTGTAAATATGAATATTGCGGTCTATACAGTAGTCTTGCTTTTAATAATTTAGCAGTCACACACACCGTCTCATTCAATTAGAAAGTAACCAATATCTGTAACCTGTATCTACTCTCTGGTCAGGTTGAACGAGGAAGTGTGTCCAAACCTTTCGATGGTACTTTATGAATTTCCTAATGTCTTGAATGGCATTCTGTAGTAAATAAAGACCAAAAGCATGTGAAGGACCACCAGGCCCTCTACCTGTACCTGTCTAAACCCAGTATGAACACACAAATGTGTCTGCGGCTTCACTAGACGACCACGAAGACGTGGTGAGACCAGAGCCTCCCCAGCGGCTTTGCGGAACGTGACCTTAAATCCGCGCAGTAAAAAGTGCACCAACTTGAGCTGCTTGTTTATGGCCAGAATGTCTACAGCAAAATACACTTTCTTACTTTCTTTGACCTTCCGGTAAACTCTCTCTGAACTTCGGCTTCCAGGGTCCTCCTCCTCTGCTTCTCTGCTGCCACGAGGCCCTGAGAGAGTCGGTGTTGCTCTTTCATTGAGGCCTTGCTTGCTTCGTTGAGGATCTTTGTGGTGTAGTGCCCTCCGTCGTTCTCCTGCATCATTCGCACAATCTTCTCCAGCAGCTGGTGGGACTGCACCTGGGGGCTCACTTGGCTGTTGAAGACGCTGTACCTCCCGTAGCACACCTTGATGAGCTCCTGAAGTTCCTCGCTCTTTGATATGAAGCCTTCAATGGTCTGCGTCTTCAGATAGTCTCCATGTGTGAACAGCACCAGTGAGTATTTAGCCGCCTCCTCGCCGAAAATGGTGTGGATCATCCTGACGGTGTCCTGCTCCTCCTGGGTGAACCTGCCCAGCTTCAGAACCACCAGGAAGGCGTGGGGACCAGGAGCAGAGAGAGGGATGCACATCTTGATCCTGTTCACCACTTCTTCTTGGGATATCTGGGTGTCAAACAGCCCTGGGGTGTCAATGACGGTGACCTTTCGACCTCCGACCTCTCCCTCAACTCTCTTGCATTGCAGTGTCCAGGATGAGGAAGAGCGTTGGGGCTCGAAGGCCTCTCTCCCCAGGATGATGTTTCCTGCGGCACTTTTCCCTGCTCCGGTCTTCCCCAGCAGGACGATGCGGAGTTCATCACCTCGCGTCTGCCTTCCTGTGGACATAAAGCATGGCAGCAGAAAACATCTGATTTAAATACAAATATGTACAAATTGCATATCACCAGCATTGTTAATTATAAATATATACAGTAGAGGACAAATTTGCAGATGTATATGGAATTCCAAGCTAACACAATAAAAGCATATAGTATTTAGCTTTTGTCGAAACTCAATCAATGCAGTTTAAAAAGTGATCCATGTTCAGTAGTCGTGGTTGAATTAGCGCATGGTTATTTTAGCACTTTGTTCAGTAAAACTACTCCGGTACAAGTATGAGACCTGCTGTCAGGGTTGAGGGTGGAAGGCAGGACTCAAACGCAGAGTTCAAAAGGAACACAAAGGACTTTAATAGTCAATGGTCAAAACACAGGAACCGGGAGGAAAAAACAGCAGGCAACATGTGTGACGAAAGACAATGACGCGACAAGTGACACAAGAGACACACGGCTTAAATCCACAAGGGAGGTGCAGGTGATTGGACACAGGTGGAAACTATTAGACAATCACAGGGGATGACGAGACAAGGCAGGAAGTGAAGTTACCCGGGGACACGAGTGGCACAAAACTACAAAATAAGACAGGAAGTGAACCACACCGTGACACCTGCATTGGAAGGGCGACTGTGGGTGAGTGGGGAGCACGGTCGTCCTCCAATCAGAGGGTTGTCGGTTCGATCCCAGGCTCTGCTAACCCGCATGTCCATGTGTCCTTAGGCAAGACACTTAACCCCACATGGCTCCTGTAGCTGCGACTACAGTGTGTGAATGGTAGTGACTGATGGGCAGGTGTCACTGTGTGGGGTTCTCCTGTCATCAGTGGTCGCAATACTACAAAAGCGCTATACAAGTACAGTCCATTTACCATTACTGGAGTAGTACTACAAAAGAATTATCGACCAAATGTGCTCGTTGTATCTGAAGTTAACTCTTACTCTTTACGCCATAATTATCTATTGTGCCGCAATATCAGACACCTAAAAGAAGTACATCGTCACATCCAGCATGAATATGTAATGTAGAAGTTATTTTTGCAAGAAGAATGAAGCTAAGTAACAAGGAAGCAGCGAGGAACCAATGGGTATTGTTTACTGAATACTCCTCTCCTCTCTTTGCTGTCTCATTCGCAAGGGTCCTGTTTGTAATTCCCATGACAGCGCCGCCCACTCCAAGATTGTGATCGCTTCAAACAGAAAACAAGTCAGAGCACTCCTTCCACCCAGGGCAGAACACTAGGCATAAGACTACAAAGTCATGGAATGTTAATAGAAGATCTACAGAGACCCCACAAACACTGTCCTATTGCCCCAAATACCAACTACACCAAGAAAGGCGCTATTTTCCTCCCGTCCCAGTAACAAACCACATTGACCATCGTTATTAAAGACGGACATCTTCAGTGGGGACCAGTGGGCTTGGAGAGACCGGAGACAGAAAGACATTCTGGGATTTGGTGACCTAATAACCAACGTGTGCGCGCTACACTTTACTGAGACCCCCAACTCGATGAGAGCCAAGCGTCCCATTGAAAAGACAAGTGTGACCATAGCAGAGACAAATGAATAGCCGTATCTATCAGGTAATGCTAGTTAATAGATAATGATAGGTGATGAATTTAGAGACACTTATTGAGCACACGTGCAGAGCAATAGTGCAGCTGAACAGCGTCACGGCGACAGCGACTGCAAAGACACCGTCATGAGTCTGTAGATCAATTCGAGGAATGAATGCACAAGATGCAGTTTAAGTCTTTTATTTAGACGATACACGTACATGACATCATCCAGGCACAATCCATCAAGGTGATTACATGGATGATTTTACTTATGTTTGACATTAAACAGTAAAAGACTGCTGTATGATAAATAGAGTAGAAGTCAACAACAAAATAAATGAACAAAAAGTCATTGAGAGTCATTTGCGTATACATGGAGTTTAACTGGGAGCCAATCGCTGTCTAGATGGTGTCTGATGATCGCTGTGGTGGCGGGCGTGGTTTGGCTCGGTAGCAGAAGGAACAGGGGGGAGTGGCTCAGGCAACGGTGCCAGGTGAAGGCCTCAGCTGCCGTCATGTGATGAATTGTTTGTCTCCCTGTATTTAGGCAGGAGTGGCCATCCAGCGAGATCTGAGGGAAAGCAGTCAAAGCGAAGGATCTGGACGCCAGGAGCACAATCACGGCTGCAACGTTGAAAAATAAAGCTCGGGACCCCTAAGAATCAACCACGTTACAATGGCCTATAAACATTATCATTTAACTGTATGCTGTACGGTCCTTATTGCACATGGCAGCGCTCGGACACTTTGATAGACACCATACCAATGGCAGCTCCAACAGCTGCTCCAGCTGCGACTCCCACTACAATCCCAATTGGACCTCCTGCAATCCCAATCAGACCCCCGACAGCAGCACCACAGGTTGTTGCCACACCTACTACCGGAGCAGTGAGAAAGTCATTGGATTTTTCAGCTTGAGATCTGGCTTCACGGTCATATTCTCTATTGACCCGCTTCATCTCCCTGCGGTAGGCCCTTTCCTGATATTGAGATCTCAGTTCCTGCAGCTCCATTTCCCTCTTCGTCTCCATTTCCTTCAGGAGTCGCAGTTTCTCCTTCTCTATGGCTGCCTCTGCGCTCAAGAACATTTCGTTGGTGTAGTGGCCTCCTCCGTTAGCCTTGGTCATCTGGTCAATTTTGTCCAGGAGCTGACTGGTCTGTTTGGGGTCTTTGATTTCGTTGTTAAAGACGTGGTAGCGTTGGTTGCACTGCTTAACGATGGCTAGCAGTTCAGGACTGTCTGAAATAAAGTCATCAATGGTTTGACTCCCCAGCTGGTCGCCATGCGTGAACAGCAATATTGTGTATTTAGCCGCATCTTCCCCAAAAGTGGTCTGAATCATCCTGACGGTGTCCTGCTCCTCCTTGGTGAACCTGTCCAGCTGGAAAACCACCAGGAAGGCGTGGGGACCAGGAGCAGAGAGAGAGATGCACATCTTGATCTTCTTCAACACTTCTTCTTGGGGGAAATTAGTGTCAAACAGCCCCGGGGTGTCGATGACGGCAACTTTTTGACCTCCAACAACCCCCTTGGCCTTCTGGCATTCGGACGTTAAGGAAGATGGAGACAGCTCAGACTCAAATGCTTCCCTCCCCAGGAGAGTGTTTCCCGTTGCACTCTTTCCCACTCCGGTCTTCCCGACTAGAACAATCCTCCATTCGTTTGGAATTGCGGCACCTCCGAACCCTGCCGGACAGAAATACACTGCTCGTCATAACATGCTGCCTTGTTCTCAGAGAGGAGGTCAGCCGCCTTCATTTTGGTCGCCTCTCACATGGAAATATCAGAGTGCCCGTGTCCTTTTAGCCAATAGTCAGGTCAAAAGGCTGAAAACAACATTTGCTTATCACAATGACAACACATATTTAATGTCATCAAACAGGTCAAACAAGAACAAAAATGCTCTCAACCCGGAGTGTCAAGTTACTATAATTAACTTTAAGGTGCATTTTTTTGTAAAGAATGTTTTCAAAAACATGTTTGTTCAAGATACTTTATGTAAGACCTGATTAGTAAAACAACAACCTATCTTGGTTTAGTCATGATAAACTTTAAGATAAAGATTTATGGTCGTAAACAGAGAATGTCTCTGATCACTGATTTTTCTAATTAACTTATTTGTTTGCTTGTAACAAACTAAATGTGCCCCTGTTTTTAATCCGTTTTTTTTACATTACAGGTCATTTAGCAGACGCTTTTATCCAAAGCGACTTACATTACACTTTAAACACATGGCTTTTTCACATTTTTTGCCCGGGGAGCAATTAGGGGTTAGGTGTCTTGCTCAGGGACACTTCGACATGGAACATGGGGCAGCCTGGAATCGAACCTACAACCTTGTGCTTTCCAGCACACCTTCTCTAACCCCTGCGCCACGACAAATCACAATAAACATTTACTAGAAAAACAAAGACGGCCTTAATCTGTTTGGGCCTGTGATTTGACTGACTCTTTTCTTTGATCTCTCAATCATCATTCATTCATTCAAAATCATTGATTTCATGAATTTCAGCAACGACAATACATTACTGGGTTTGGCTCATAATCCTGAGTTTGTAAATCTCCCATCTCCCTCTCCTCTTGATTCTTGAAAATCGGATTACTTTCGTTGTCTAATAAAAAGGCACAAAATCCCTTCTACCCATTCTAATTAAAAAGAAGTACAATAGTGCAATTTATTTAGAGAATATTTTTCACAATCACAGCAAAGGCAGGAACCAACTGTGCCTCTGGTTACACAGACATTGTTACCCGTAACTCAACTCACTTAACCACCGCCGTTCCTTCTTTGATTTGAAAGATGCAATATATTATAATATATAAACTCCATAAAAAATCAATAAAATAATGACTTTACTTTTCCAATCAAGTTTTATTACATTATTACAACGTTTTATTACAACATATTTTCAAGTAAATTTACTTACTTACAAATATTCCAATTGAAGCCAATTTTTCTGTGTTGCATTGTATCTTTTTCGCTGTGTTTCTGATGCTGTGCATCTCGAGATCTCCCTCTCACTTGCTCTCCCTCCGTCTCTCTCTCTGGGGTGAGAGCCCCCATGTCGGTTTTGCTCATTCTAATCACTATAATATCAATGTAACACTGCTCACAATAGTATAAACAGTATCTCTACCCATTACTTGAAATACTAGTGATATTCATACAGACATTAATAAAGTATATCCACAAGGATATATCAATAAGGTCCGATATCTATAACGGTTTGAACCTCATTTTCCACTGAACTACCATAATGACAGAAAGCCCGGACTCTTACCTTGATAGTCTGCCCTGCTCATGTCTACAAGCTACAAAGATCTTCCTGCTGTGCGTCCTGTCACGAGTTTCTCCTTCTGAAACCTGTCATGAATCATTCTTACTTCCACTTGGGCGGCACCTTCTTGCTGCCAGACTGGAATTTCAGAGCAAAAGGAGGTGCTGCATAGTTTTGAATGGAATTTCCCATTTAAACCTATACCTGCAATGATTGCTCAAGCCTCTCCTTTCACCACTTTAACACTGGTTTACACAGCTTAGATAGGCTGCATCAATAAATAGAACTATAGCAATCAAATACACCCCACATGGCTCATTGTATAACCACATATTCAAACTTATTTTATTCTTATTTATATCTGAGGAATCCGAAAAGGGCCAGGGAGAACATGGCTTCCTAGGTTAAGGAAAGGTGCGGGTTATTGTATCTGGAACGAATAGTGATCGCGGGTGAACAGGAGGTCAAAAGGTGAGGGGGGGGCGACGAGGGCTGTGGGAGGGCTCTTTCTTTGATAGTCCTGGGTGGATGCTGATAGGCTGTCGAGTATGGAGTTTTGCAGGCTGGCAATCAGCGGTGGAAGGGAAGGGTTTACAGGTTGAACGTCGGCGCCCTATATGGAGGAACTGGCGATGGATGTCTGCATAAGGGGCCAAGCTTCTGAACTTCATGAGTGGCAAGTCCCGGGTAGAAACCTTTAAGTCCATCGATGAGGATCTGCGCAATATGTACGACAGCATCACAGTGCCATGAGTCTTGCCTACGGCTTACATTACGTTGCATCCTCGTTGCTTTACATTCTTGACAGTGCTGGGTTGCCTTTTTGTGTGATGTTGTTACGGTGTGTGAATACAGAACACGGATGTTAGCTGTGAGAAGGCATCCCGGTGCCGGTTGCACAGACCTGTAGCCATGGATGGTGCGACTAGGAGGCGTAAAGCTCTGGCATCCCGGTGTCAGAGGTTACACCGAGCAGTTGGGGTGGCTGGGAGAGGGTGGTGGGGTGGTGCCTCGTTGCTTTACATTCTTGACAGCGTTGGGTTGCGGTTTGCATCACGTGCTGTGTCGTTTTTGTTTTTGTTCAGTTATTGTGCTACATTACCTTACCTTTTCTTGTTAAGTAACTGTGCACGACAGCAACTACAACCCCCGCCTCCCCATATGTGTCAAGAGTGCATGTATTTGGGTAAGAATGCGGTCATTCCGCAGTCCGGTACGAAGTGGCCCATGTGTCAGTCTGCTTGTAAGGCTTGTAAAGCTTATAAAGCTTAAGAAAACACCTGTAAAACCTGTCCGGACAACTTACAGGCAGGTTACCATGGCTTTGCAGAAGTTGGCCTCAAACATTGGTTCTTTCTTAAGTCCCCAACCACCGGGCCGCGGACCGCTGCCCCACAGAAAGAATCGATATAGGGTTAGGGTTAGGGTTATATATTTTTTGTCATTTTACTTTGTTTTCTGAAAAATGTTTTACTTACCACCAGCAGACAGAGAGCCCACAACTACACCCCCTCCCTCCCCCCCACCACCTCCCTCTCCCCGTCCCCCCTTTGGTCGGTCGGTCGGTCGGTCCACAACGACCAAAGGAGCTGGTCTCCTTTACCCCCTCGGGGTAAAGCATTCTTTCGCGGCTGAACAAGCTGCATGGGACACAGTGCCACAAATCGGTAAGACAAATCTAACCTGTTCGAGTTGAAATAACTTATAACAAGCTGCCGTCAAAAGTGCAGCGGCTCCCGGTAACGGTACATTGATGTCCATAACAGGCAGTACATAGACTCAGGGGGGGTTCAGGTGTGGAGGACAGTCTGGGTCAGGAGCTGTCTCATGTCTTCTTAAAAGCAGGACATGGGTTTCCAACGTCACGTAACTTCAGCCATTTTATAAACTAAGATGTGATGTTATATATGCTATTACTTAACGTTGGACACGCCTTCTCACTTGAATGTGTTTCCAAACCTTTGACCGGTACTGTTTCTGCAGTTTAGCTCCTACGTGGTGAAGCAGCTCCTGCCAGCTGCCACTTGATGTCAGTGTTGTCTGAGGTTTAGAAGGAAGGCCACCGCAGGCCTTCTCATCCACACCTGCTCCAACGCAGCACCTGTTCAGTGTCCAACATTTACATTTGGTAATTGTCTTTTAGCGAGTCTCCAGCCGGCTTTAACATGTCAAGCCCACTGGATCCCCAATTAGTTTATCCACTCCCTGATTGGTGAATGATTTACTTTGCGGATGTGCCCACTGTTGCTACAGATAACACTCGCAGGTCTATAACCTGTCACTTATTTAAAGAGTTGAGGATTGCAATTTGAAAGCCCTTCTAACGTATAGTGAATAATTTCCCCCATAGTACTGTTAGAAAAATGAATACTCGACATCACTGTAAAATCATCAAAACAGGACTTTTATTGTTTGCAAACAGGAGACTGAGTTGACACATACAGGTCACGCGCCAAGCCTACTCGAAGGTCTTCTTTCCGGAGTCACCATTTATACTTGAGATATGGTATCATAAACATGGGGAGGGTTGTGCATGTACAGAGGTCTGGTTGTTCTAGACCTCCTGTTTTTGTCTGGAGACTTCATGAGACACAGAGAGTCCTCCTCGACACCGGAATCTCATCTCAGCTGACATTTCATCAAGATTGAACAATACAGACGTGACTCTTTTAATCACGACATGACATTATTTGCTGATTATTTAACTGTAAGAACAGTTTTGTTCTTATAGTTAAATTATGAAGCATTTGCATACAGTGACACTTTGCAGAATTGGCCCAGTCTGTGCAAGGAGGGAGCCGCCTTCATGGCAAACTGTCAAAAAGTCTGTAGCTTCCTTCATTGAAACTAATCTCACTCACCCTTTTGTGATTTGGTTTGACAGGGGTTGTATTTTTAGTGCTGTGCTTTTTCAGAGAAAATTCCCCTTTCACATTAAAGGCTAGGTCTTTCAGCCGGTTAGGAGTATGTCAAATCCACCACATTTCAGTTCTTATTGTTTCTCATCAAAAGGTTTGATGAGATCTTTATTCAATGCGGCACATAAATCAGGTTTCGGGTTATTCGATTTTACCTTTTGTGTGACAGTCAGCCATGGGAATTAACACAAATGAAAGGTTTAGAAAAGACTGATGCAACACAAGCTTGTACCAATAAAAGAGTCAATATATGGTTTACTCAAAATTAATTCCCAAAGAAAGGCTGATTTGCAAAATATGACAAAAAGTATAACACTGGGGTCCCAAAAATCCCCCCCACGCCCCCCAAAAACCATCAACAGAGCATTTTACCTCTAACCCCCCTGAGCTTTAAACACCATTGAGATATTCCTCACCAGATATGATATGATATGATGTGATAGGAACCAATACTGCAGTATGCCCATGTGTCACTTCACCTGCCAGGTGAGTCCCATATATGAGGACTGTGTTTAGGAAATAGTCTCACCTATGATGAGGGGCACAACGAATGAGCAGCAGGTCTGCTGTCCTCTGGGTGGATGAGAAGGAAGTTAACAGAGTCAAGCGCTTAAATACAGCAACCGCAAAAAAGTATTTCTTCAACAACAAAAATAGCGTGTGTACCCTGTACTGTACAAGACATACCCGTACCTAACATTATATTGAAAGATTAAGTAATGTTGGAGGACGTTTGCTCAATAATAGAAGTCGGTGAAATTCACGAGCTGTCTGCGCCGATGCTATTTTGCACAGAAACACTACAGCGTTTGGGGGTCCGATGTGAGTTGTGACGCTGGCTTTGAATATTAAATATACAAAGACAAATTTTACCCTTTATTCGGTCAAACTTCCACCACACACAACAGGAGTCTCTATGTCAACGCTATGCGTATCATTAGCCAAACCCACCCCTCCCACGGTCCGTCAGACGGTTTGTTAAATAACAGAACAACAACGCTAACGTTACATACCATAAGCGCAAAAAAGACAACAACGAGCCTCTCTGCTTTACATGAAAGGAAAACAAATACGTATCCCTTGCAGTTATCTGTCTTATTCCTTCCATTCTCCCAAACCATCTCCAACACTCCTTTTGCAAGGTTGCTGTCCTTGTCAGCTATTCAGGTAATGTATATTGCATCGTACAAAACCATGTTGGATCCTCTCTTTCAAAAGGCATACGCTCTGTCCACCTGGGACGGAAAACAAAAGTGTTGCATTCCTGCGTACGTAACCCCCCCCAAACTGTAATCAGCTCAGCGCCTGTCCTTATACAAAAACACTACCACCACCACTTTGTTTGAGAAATTAAGCTTAACCCGTGCCATAAAATCAAAGCTGCACCTGACCTTGAAATGCCCGTGTACAACAACAATCAAATGCCCCCATGTCTAAGTTTCTACCACTTTCCATTAGACAATGAATTGCAAATTCAGATCAAATGCAACGGGGCAGTAGACTATTCCTTTAGAAAAGGAAGATATCTATTCAACCCCAAAAAGAATTAGACGTCTTAACCTTAAATGGGTTGTCACGTTATCAGCAATCACTTAACAGTAACTGAAAAAAATGTACTTATTTGCTGAGCTTACTGATACCTGTGTTACCTCATGAGATGTTTTAAAGACTTCCTGTCTTATTTTGTAGTTTTCTGCCACTCGTGTCCCCGGGTAACTTCACTTCCTGCCTTGTCCTGTCATCCCCTGTGATTGTCTAATAGTTTCCACCTGTGTCCAATCACCTGCACCTCCCTTGTGTATTTAAGCCGTGTGTCTCTTGTGTCACTTGTCGCGTCATTGTCTATCGTCGTGGATGTTCGTAGTTCCTGCCTGCCGTTTTCCCCCGCTTCCTGTGTGTTTTTCCCCCTTGGCGTTTTCGTTTTGCCGTTGTGACTATTCAAGTCTTTTGCTATCTAAGAAGTCTGCGTTTGAGTCATGCCTCCCCACGCATCCCTGACAGAATGACGCGACCAAAGAAGGGCTCAGCAGACCCGCTGCCAGATTACGGACCTGAGTACTTGGACGTAAGAAGTTCCTTCTGGCGGCATAAGACGAACTTTATCTTCGGTCCCAGGGTCCCATCAGCTCGCCTGCCTTGAACTCCGGGATCTTCTAAATCCCAGGAGGAGCCCTGGCCAGAGGAAGCACCGGCTTACCGCTGGG